TGATCTAATTACTTTCAGTACTTAAAAGCTAGTCCTAAAAATTGGATTCAAGGACCTAGTAGGATCTCAAGGCTGTTGTGAGAAATTTTTCCCTTGAATTTCCCAACAATGATTTCTACATGAACATACAAACCAAATGCCTCTGAGCAGTAACCAAAATCTTTGTGGAATAACCTTGAGAAAGGATTACAAAGGTTAGAAAAGGACAGGAAGGATGCCTAGAATGCATGAATTTGAAATAAATTACAGCAGTCCTCGCTCGGTCCACTTCCAGTATTTCTGAATTTCAGTTACCATGGTTTAGCTAAATAACACAGATGCCCCCAAATCACAGTACAAATTTCAGCTACCACGATGCCACAATGAATTACATGAGTACTTGCATGAGACACAAACTTCACTGCTCTCTCTTCAGTCCACAAATCACCCTGTTAATATCAGATGTGCAACATGATCAGTGACCAATCATGTCACTTCTTTCAAAGACTGCTGGTGACTACTACTCACTGAGCATCTCTTACTCAGTTCATGCGCAGACAGCAGAGCACATGTGGTGTGACCTTCAGGTCTCCCAGTAATAAATCAATGTGACATTTATGATGGATTATCAAAGGAGGAAACGGGGTCAGCAAAGATTAAAGAATGACGAGATATAAAGTAATAATTTTGGAAGTGAGATTCAAATAAAATGTAAATGACATCACAAAATAGCTGACTGTGGGAATGTCAACACACTGCCATTCAAGAGATTCTAGATATACAGTCAGAGAAACTCAGTAAAAGTGAACTTATTGGCATAAATGAGGACAGTGAGTAGGTTGTGACAAAAGGAATGCAGATGTCCCAGAAGTGGTGACTCTGGCAAAAAACTTCACTTAAAGAAATTCTTGGAGATATTGTATAACACTATAAATGCAAAGGATAAAATGTTGGAAGCTGATCCAAACCTAAAAAGGAGTATGACAATTCACTGAGGCATAAAAAAAGATGCTTGCTCTGTATTCCAAGTTATGTAACAAGAAGGAGGCAAGCACCATTCAAACTACTCTTGATGGAACACTTTAATTCTCAGTGTTTCTAATGTTTTAATTTACCATGTACTAAATAGTTTTACTTTTTTTCCCCCCATTTCCTAATAGTGTTATTACTGACAGTAAGAGGGTTTTTAATGTTTTGACCAAAATTTTAAAGGTCATGGAGCAATAGTAATTTTTTTGCATTTATTTTAGATTGCTTTGCAGAATTTCCGCTTACTCGGTCATGTTTATGGTCTCACAGTTTTGTGTAAAGACAAGTTCAAAGGAAGAAAAGTAAAATAGATATGCCTGACTCAAAGAATTTCAGAATGTTGTAGTCCCTTAAAACTATAAGAACTAGAGATCTTGGTGAGCAACATGTGAAATCACTTATCAAACATCTTAATGAGAGAAATTACCTGGGGTACTACCAAAGATTGAGGAAGAACAACCCTGGAAATCTGCCAGTAACTTAATTGTCATTGATGTGGGAAACTGTGAGTTGGTATAGTTTTAAGAACAAAAAGAAAGTGCCCAAAATGTAATACTACTGGAGATCTGTGACTTTGGTTAAGACTCAGTGTTTGGTTCTAAGTTCTCTCTGAGTTGTTTGTTAAGCATTAAGATTCTGCTTAAAAATTTGTAAGTTGAAGATAAAGGCAAAGATGTTTAGGAACATTTCCCTGTAAGAAACCTTTGTCTTCAAAACATGGTCTAGGGCTCACCAAGTCCTGCCTTGGCTTCAGGAGTTTAAAAATCTTCTTGGGCTTCAGTAGGATCAATGGCATCCTGAGATATAGTTCAAAATATATTTCTGGTAGAAAGTAACTCATTCTCCTAAAAACAAAGGCATAACCTGTTCTTTATTATACGGTTAGCCTATGGAAAGTCCAAGTTGAATCCTGAACCACCAAAAGACTGACATTAGAACTAGAACTAGAAAAGCCTCCTGTGGTCAAATACAGACCATAAATGGTAATCTGGTAACCTGAAACAGTTAAGAAGAACTAGAAATCCAGAAAGTGAAAGTCATGGGTATAAGTTACTATTAATAACTCAGGGGCTTTATGATAATTACACTCTAAAAAACACATCACCGAATGACAAGTAGAACAGAGAAGGGCTTTCCTGTTTGGTGGAATCCCAGGCCATAAACAGGAGGTCTCTTAGAAAGGGTACCCCCAAAAAGGTAGACTTAGATCCATGACTATCCTCCAAATGGGACAGAGGCCACAGAACATGCACACTTACATGTTTCCTCAACTGAAATGCGAGTGCTACAAAGCCAGGGACAATATGCATTTCACTTCCAAATCTTGAGGCTCTAAGCCCGTGCTTAACAATCACAGGCACCCTGTCAATAGATACTTGTTGAGTAAATTAAACAAAGTAAGTCTACATTCTGCTCTGTCAGTAAGTTTCATCTACTGAGAATGTGTACCCAGATAAAGGTTCGCTCTTCATGGGAAAAAAAGTTTTCAAAATAAATTCAAAATAAACTAGGGAGGTAGTACAATGTAGTGGTAAACAGCACTGGTTCAAATCCCAGTACTACCAGAGAAGAGCTGGGAGACTGTGGGCAAACTGTCAAACCTACCTCAGGTTTTTATCTACAAAACAGGAATGATAATGATGGCACCTACTCCCACTGAGTTCCTATGAGCTGTAAATGTGACTGGAGAGGTCAGTGCTACCAGCATCCATCATACAGAGCAAGGGTTCCACAATTATGTAGGTACACTTATCATTAACACCTTCCAGTGGGAGTCCAAACTGAGTCAATCAAGCATAGAGGCCCGCCTCCACCCTGCCTCCCCACATTTACTTGTTCTAAGGAGAGCTGAAATAAAAAATTCCCACCAAGATATTCTTTTGGCTTCAGAAGCATGTTCTTTAAAATATGATCAGTGGAATAAATATTAAAGAGCATTCAACCTAACACAAACTGAAAATTAAAACAAGATTTTTTTTCACTCATCAAATTATTAGCAAAGATTTTAGAATTATGTCAGGATTATGAGGTGAAAAACAGATATTCTCATCTGCAGTAACTGATACAAACTTTCAAGAAACACTTTGGCAGTATGTATCAAGAGCCTTAAAATATCTCTGCCATTTCTAGTCTTACATATCTTTAGCAGAATTATTTCCATAATATCAAAAAAATTTGGAAACATCCTTAATATCTATCAAGATGAGAGTTAAGTAAATTAGAGTATAGGCAGCTATAAAAAGATTTCTGAAAACAAGGGTGAAATTCAGGATATATATATATATATATATACACACATATATATATATATATATATATAAGTTCTATATGTCTGTTTACAGTTTTCTTTTTTAAAGAAACATAACGAAAATGCATAGGAAAAAAAATGAAAGGGAAGGAGGAAACACACTAGAATACACCAATAATTTATTTCCATGTTGGGGAACTTCAGATTTTTGTTTCTGCTCCATAATTTCTTATATTGTATAAGGGGTTCTAAAGTGATATTTATTCTTCAAGTCAGAAAAATTATAAAGCTTATTTTGTAAAAATATGGCTGATATTTTCTGGTTCAGACAATAAAAACAATGTCACTAATGATAATGCCATGGCCAGCAAACTTCAACCAATCTAAATGCAACAAATCACACTACTGTGAAATAATTTCATAATCTTAAGAAAAAGCTATTCTCTACCTCAATCATATGACATGGGCTTAAGGCCTGGGTCTGCCAATAGAGATAAAGGCTTTCTCCAACACCAGGAAAGACTGAATAGGTCTTGATGCTCTATCAGTCTTTTTTGTGATATAAAAGGCTTACCAAAATTCTAAGAAAATTTCCACAAGAAGTCTAGACACTTTTTTGAAAATAAAAGTTGTGAAATATCTTGACAGTTGTCACTGTTAGCCCTTTCTTCCCTTTCGTTTGTTTTAGACAAAAGCTGAGAACAGCTTTGAAATCACAGAGCATTTTCTAGAGTGCCACACATTGAGCAGAGCCCACAGAATATATAATCAATCTTCTCTCCTCCATTTTCATCACTTTAGATTTCTGAGTAAAAGCAAAATTCATGAAATATACAATAGGCCAATCCACTACAACATTTTACTAGCTTTCATTTTTTTAAAGGTTGCCGAATGAAATAAACGAGATCAGCAGTATTCACACCTTGCCTTGTATAAATGTTCACTGTCCTTCAATGACTGACCATTTCATTGCACGATAGGGAGATAAGGAATAAATCTTACATGTTAGAAGTTTAATTGTTTAGACTGTCACCTCAGAACTTCATCACTATAGTAAATTTCTTTTACCAAACTGGTAGGGAAATATGGTTGAGTCTTAGTATCAACCAGAATACATATTACCTTTTTACCTAGTAGTGGCAATTCCACATTGTTGATGCTAAATCTGAAATAGCAACAAGATTTACTCTGAGAAGTTTGGTCACATGATTATCACAGCAAAACATGATTAAAAACTACAATTCATCCATGGCTACTTCCTTAGGGGCTGCAGAATCATGGTAAGGATGACAAAAACATGGTTCAGATGGGGCTTCTCCTAGGATGAACATAGGCACATGGATGAGCGCAAACTAGGAAAACAAAGAGAGGGCAGTCTTAATGCTCAAAAGTACAATATCCTGCCATGACACTAATGCAGGGCCGTGACCATCTCTACCAAAACAATGTGTGTAAAGGCTCTGAAAACCCTATGTAGAGAGAGTTAAAGGTATTATTATTAGGATTTCCACTATTCGTTCTTAAAAAGTTTAAAAAAGAAAAACCTTAGGAATTAAAAGTGAACTGTAGTAAATTGTGGGGGGAAGATACACACTTCAAGAAGAATATTAAGACTATACATTATTATTTATCACATTATCACATTTCCTAATACAACTTAGATAAAATATTTCACTAATATTACCTCCCGGAAATAACATTTCCATCATTAAAACATACATGAAAAACAGAGATAAATACTTACTCACAATACCAAACTGTCCCCAAGACAGAAGTACAGCCAAAATTGGGAAAATAACAATGAGGATATTTTCATTTGGAGAAAACCATGAAACTAGGAAGAAAACAAAAATCACAATTAATATTTACTATAATCATGTTAAGTCCTGACACTGATAGTCAACAATACATTTATTGTGAAGACAGAAAACAAAAATAACTTATTAAAGCTGTGGCCTTAAAATAATTAAAATTACACAGTTTACTTATACAGCAAATTTTACTTCTGAAACAAGAAGCTCGTTTAAGTGTTTTTTTCCACATTTTCCCTAACCTATGATTTATGGAAAGAGACAATATGACACAGGAGCTGAGAACAGGGCTCTGCAGCCATACTGCCTGGCTTGAAACGTAACTCTACGTTACGAGCTTTGGAGGTTTGGACAAAGTCTTAACACCTCTCTGTTTTTTACAGATCTCAACTGTTGAACCAGTACAACATAGCACCTACCCATTGAAGGACTGTTGCAACTATTAACAAAGCTACTACGTGAAAAGGACTTAAAACGGGGGCGCCTGGGTGCTTCAGTCAGTTAAGCACCTACCTTCTGCTCAGGTTCCTGGGATCTAGGGGTCCTGGGATGGAGTCCCACCCTTGTTTCCCTGCTCAACGGGGAGTCCACTTCGCCCTCTCCCTTTGCTCCTCCCCCCCCCACTTGTGCTTTCCCTCTCACTCTATCAAATAAAAAAATAAAATCTTTGAAAAAGAGAGAGAGAAAGAAAAAAGAAAAGGGCTTAAAACAAAGCTTGGCTATGTACCAAATACTTAGTCAACCTTCACTATGATGACTGTAACGTTCGGTATTAAGGAAGTTTCTGTTAAGTGGGTCACATGTTACCTAGGCAGTAAAAACAGAGCCACAGTCTATCTGAAGGAAACTGTAACCTTAAGATTTCAAATAACTTGGGAACTTTTAAAACATTAAGATTCATCTTAACACTTAAGAACACTGATTTTATCTATGAACTTTCTTCTTTAAAAATAAAGCCAAATAAACGCGTCAAAGAAATTTCGAAGTTTGCCTGCATATGGGGGATTTGCTGTCTGAAGAGCGTTCCTCAACACTGCCCAAAGCAAGCACTGGTGTTCCTCTGCAATCGACCCTATTCATTCAAATCCTCCGGGGCTCTGCCATTCCGTATCGGCATGTGAAGAACCTGGTGGACTTTCCTACCATAAAGACATATTTCTTGTATTAACCTTATGTTCAAACCTGGTAAATGTTCCCAACATACAGAATATAACAACATTATAAATTCTGTCTTAAAGCTGTTAGCTTTTCAGAACCTAGCATTTCGCCCTGTGCATAGCAGAGACTCAACAGGCTTGCTGTTGAAGGTTCTAACAGTCATGAGGTAAGCTGGTGAGTGAATGGAGGACTGCATTTCATTTTTTCACAGATCCCTACCCAGAGAGAGATTTTTCAGATATTCTGAATCAATACCTTAATTTCAAACTGTATTACTGAGTATCTTCCTACACCAAAGAAAATCTATTATAATTTGGCCTAAAATCTAAGCAGGAAAAAATTTTTTAAATTATGCTTAGGTTTTCAAATCTAATGCCCAAAGGATTTGGTAAAAGCTCTATGATCTGAGGACTATTCCCAATCAATTTATTTTCCCTAGCCATTTTCTCTATTATTTTGTTTTGAGTTGTCTATATGAACTCCTCAAATCCTTACAATTATTGTATGAGGAATTACTAACCCCTCCTTAATGCTGAGGAAACTGAGGCACAGTGAACCAAGGATTTTTTTTAATTTTTATTTTATATTTTTATTATGTTCAATTAGCCAGTACCTCATGAGTTTTTCGTGTAGTGTTCAATGAGTCATTAATTGCATATAACATCCAGTGCTCATCACCACACGTGCTCTCCTTAATACCATCACCCAGTTACCCCACCCCCCACCTCCCTCCTTGGGCTGGTATCCAAGATCTATAATGAACCAAGGATCATAAGCACTGAAGTTTTCATGCCCCAAATGGACTTCTGATGGCCCTCTGCCTACTTCACCAAACCTCCCCTCTTGGGTTTCCCCATTTTGGTAGTGCTGACTTCCCCAATTATTCAGACCAAAAATCTTAGAGTCATCCATAACTCCTTGGTTTCTCTCACATGCCACAGCCAGTCCCACAGCAAATCTTATGGGCTCTACATTCAAAATACAGCCAGTATCTGATCAAAATAATCAGTAGGTGTTTAAGATGAGCTGACAATGAAATGTTCTTTCACTGACCTCTCTCCCTATGCAAAAAAACAATCTCAGGATATATTGATAGAAACCTATTAATATGAAGTGTGTCTGACCATGGTCTGATCACTCATTTTTCATTTCACGAACATTTACTGAAATCACACCATGGATAGGGTATTCTAGAAATGTAAGGTCTGCTAGTGAACATGGCAGGTGGGACCATGAGCTAAAGGAGAGGGAAGAACTGAAGATCAGACTTTTGAGGAACTGGATTTGAGCCACATGAAGATAGGGAAGAAGAGACACCAAATGAACAGCAAGTTCAAGAAAATAAATGGTGGCTAGAATTTAGTGATACAAGAGGAGATGGGAATCTTGCTGGGACAAGATCATGTTGGGTCTTAACAGCTTGTTATGAGAGTTTGGATTTTATTTTAAGAGTAATGCTAACTGATTGGAAAGCTTCAAATGAGAGGAAAATGACCATGATTCATTTAAAACCTTCTCCAGCAATGTGCAGAATGGATTACAGAAGGAGGATCAATCAGAAAGTTGTAGCAGCAATTGGGTAGTGGCAGGAAGGCAACTTGTGTGACCCACAAACACAGTCTCAAGTACATTTTCACTCATAACACTTAAAGACACACAGGAAATTGTTCCAAAGGAAGGTGACTAGAACAGGGATCCTGAAACCATTAGCAATGGCTGGAAGAACTGGAGATTTCAACCTTAGGGAAAAATAGAAGCTTGGGAGGGAAATACCATAGCCCTTCTTCTGAGAAAGAAATTGTAGGACTGCAAAGTCTGGCCTGACTTAAGTTAGAACTGGAACTGCCTACAAAGAGACTGAGATCCATTGGGAAGTGAGAGTTTCCTCATGTCAAGGGTTCAGGTAAGAAGTTTGAATGCTAACTTCCTGGGGTGTGATAGAAGTAATTCATGAATTAGACAGCGAGAGACTAAATGACTCCTGGAAGATTCCAAGCCTCTCTGTGGAAATAAGAAGTGTTAAGAGACATTTCAGTGACATGCAGAAGGTGGGATAATAAAACAAAGAATACCATCGTCTAAGTGATTCTTAATGGAAACTTATCAGAAGGTTTATTCAAACTTCACACATTCTCCCCTCTCAGCCCCCACCCCAAGATTTTAAAGTTTTTTTTTTTTTAAAGATTTTATTTATTTATTTTGACAGACAGAGATCACAAGTAGGCAGAGAAGCAGAGAGAGAGAGAGTAGGAAGCAGGCTCCCCGCCGAGCCGAGAGCCCGATGTGGGGCTCGATGCCAGGACCCTGGAATCATGACCTGAGCCGAAGGCAGAGGCTTTAACCCACTGAGCCACCCAGGCGCCCCGCACCCCAAGATTTTAATATGTTCTCCATAGTAAGAGTGTGTGTGCGTATACGCACTCGCGCGTGCACGTGCACATTCATGGAGGGGATGTTCCGTCATTCTCTCAGTTCAAAATCACTGCTGTACACCTCTGCCATAATTTCTCTCCTCTCACTGGCATGAATGTGTTCTCTCTCTTTAATTTGTCAAGGCGGAGAGTCTGAGGATCACTGAATTGGACATTCAAGAACCAAATGAGATGCTAGGGGGGGAAAGCCAATGTTTTATATAAAACCACTTATATGCCCATTAAGCTATTGATTTGTTTTGGTACTACTGTCAGATGAATTTAACTCTTGTTCCTCGGTGGGAGAAAAGAGACAAGATACTTCTCCAAGGTCCTTCTCAATTTTAAATGTCTTTGGCACTAAGAAAAAAGCTTAAAATGGACTAAGAACAATATCAGATATTTTTCCACTTTAGGATTAAGAAAGATAACCCAAGGCAATGTCATTCCATTCACGCTACGGCTGACAACTCTGCCCATTACTCTTCCCCAATTCCTGTTCAGGTAGTGAGGCTCTCAGGAAGATGAACTCATTAGTGGAAAAGCAAAGAAATGATATTATGAGGGTGTGGTCTATGAATGAGTGTTTGAATTCTTCTTCCCAGCCTAAGTGTTATAAAAACCAAGTACTTCATTTCTTTTATCACTGTGTAAAAAATGGGATATAACTGGAAAAAGTGAAAAGATCACTTTAATCAATGTTAAGTGTGCTTTTCCTTCAAATACATACATGGTAAACCTTCACGAACACCAGTTTCCACAAAAGAAGATCACAATAAAATTTACAAAACTAAAATTCAAGCCAAATTTTTACTTGATGTTTCAGGATTGTGATGACTCTTCTGATGTGTTGACTTGTTTAGGCTACTTACATAATCTAGAATTCTAAAGGAGCTCCCCAAATCCCTGCTCCCTGCAATCAGCCATTTGTAATTCCCTCCCCCTTGAAGAAGGGATGGAACAGTGAATATGATGGCTTTCATCCCCGTGATTATGTTGTGTCATATGCCAAAAGGGATTTTGATGATGTGATTAAGGTGCCCAACCTGTTGGCTTCACAAAGGAGCAATTGCCTTTGAGAGAGAGAAGGCTGGTGTAATCAAATGATTACATTTGTGCTTTTCCTGGAAATGAATTCAATATGTGAGAGGGATTCTACCAGAGGAAGGATCTTCTTGGCTGGCTTTACATATGTTAGAGGCTGTGTGGCAAGGTATGAGGCAACCTCTGGGATATGAGAGAAGCCCCTAGTGGACGTAGAGCAAAGGAGCAGAGACCTCCATCCTACAGTCGCAAGGAACTGAATTCTACCACAATCATGTAAGCTTGGAACAGGACCCTGAACTCCATATGAGAACACAGCCTAGCGGACACCTTGATTTTGGCCTTGTAAAACTTCATGTGGAGAACGTAGTTATACCATGACCAGAACTGTGGCCTACAAAACTGTGAGCTAATAAATGGATGCTGTTTTAAGCCACTACATTTGTTATTTGTTACACAGCACTAGAGACCTATTGCAAGATCTTCCAATATCCTCATGCCAACATCATAAGCATAATGTATATCATGTTGACAATGACGGAAATGGCAACTCTACTGAATTTGAAATAACCTTTTTTAAAAAAAAAACTTAATAACTTAGAGAAATGTAAAATTTTAAGCCTCCAAGTGTTTGTATTATTAGTATCAATATAGATATTAATAACAAATTTTGTAACTATTATTTACATTTAGTATTTGGTTATTTTCAAGGTGTTTTCAAAGAAACCATATAGCATGGTGGTAAAAATCTTGGGTTTTGAAGACAGACAGATCTAGGTTAAATATTTAACAAATAGTTTAAATCTCACCTGTTTTCTCATCTGTTAAATGGTAAGACCTATGTCTATCTGCTAGAGTTCTTGAAAAGATCATAGGATACAACATATATGAATTATCTGCTATGTTCTCAAACAATGTTGTTATTTTACTGTTCTTATTTATACTGCTTTCATTTTCTAGAAAGTAGGGATCATGTCTTAGTCATCGTCGAATCCGTAATGTCTAGCACAGTGCCTGACACATGGTAGGTACTCAATAAATCTTTTTAAGAGATACTAACTTAGGGGCGCCTGGGTGGCTCAGTGGGTTAAAGCCTCTGCCTTCAGCTCAGGTCATGATCTCAGGGTCCTGGGATCGAGTCCCACATCGGGCTCTCTGCTTAGCAAGGAGCCTACTTCCCTTCCTCTCTTTCTGCCTGCCTCTCTGCCTACTTGTGATCTCTGTCTGTCAAATAAATAAATAAATAAATCTTTTTAAAAAAAAAAAAAAGAGAGAGAGAGATACTAACTTATACACATGTCAAACAATTCTGTCATGAAGATAGTATCCCCATTTTACAGATAAAACTGAGGCCACATAGGTGGAGTTTCTCAAACAAGTTATCTTAAACTAGAAAATGGTGAAGTATAGAAAAAGCTTTCTAAATTCAAGTCCTGTGCTCCTTCCATGGTATGATACCACAGGCATATACAACTCTAATTCATATACAGTACTTCTACATATTCCGTCCTAGTGCTCAAAAAAAGAACACAATGGTCACCATTACCCACATTCCACTAAATAGAATTCTCTATTAAGTAATTTCTATTCCTCCTTTATGCCTACATTTGCAAAAAAAGCACAACACAGTAAAAATGTTTTCTACTGCCTAAATCCCCAAAGTCCACAAGATGGGTAAGTATCTCTACTACAGTAACTTTGTATTCCACAGTAAGAGTCCTGCCCCAAATTAACATTTTTGAGCAGAGGAGGTTTCTTTCTTTCTCTAGTCAAAAATGGGTATGAAACAGAGACACCACCAGATGCTGGCATGGATGCGGGGAAACTAGATTGCTCATATGCTGCTGATAAGAATGTAAAATGAAAAAAATCATTCTGGAAAACAGTTCGCAGTTTCTCTTAAAAACCTAGCGTATACTTACGTATAACCCAGTAATTGTACTTCTGGGCATTTATCCAGAGAAATGAAGAAGACTGTGTCCACACAGAAACCTGTACATGATTATTCACAGCAGCTTCATTTGTAATAGCCAAAAGCTGGGAACAACCAAAATGTCCTACAATAGGTGAATGGTTAAATAAGCTGTGATATACCCATACCATGGACTACTACTACTTAGCCAAAAGAGAGACAGAGACAGACAGAGACACACACACACACACACACACACACACACACACACACACAGAGAGAAAGAGAGAGAGAGAGAAAGAGAACGAACTACTGATACACACAACTTGTACGGTTCTCAAGGGCACTGTGCTGACTGAAAAAGCCAGTCTCAAAATACTGTATGATTCCACTTAAAATGACAAAATCACAGCCACAGAGACCATGTTAATGCTTGCCAGGCTGGGGGTACCTGGGGAGGGGGCAGGGAGGTGACTATGAAGAGACTGCATGAGGGAGATCTTTGTGTCAATGCAGCAGTAATTCTGAATCTTGATTGTGTTGATGGTTATTTAAACATACACATGTGATAAAATGACAAACATACACACATTGTACCACTGTGAACCTGCTGGTTTTGATATTTTACTATGGTTACACAAGAAGTAATCACTGGCAGAAACTGGGCAAAGAGTAGACAGCACCTTTCTGTTCTATCTTTGTAATTTCCTATGAACCTTTAATTACTCCAAAAAATAAAACTGAGTGCAAAGTCAAATGTCTGAGACCTCTGAAAGAGTTTTCTACATTATCTGCAACAAAACAGTATCTTCTCTTTTTAATGGCCCACAACTCATTTTTTTACAGGGTACTTTGAAAACAAAACAAAAAAAAATAATAAAATAATCACACTTTTATAAAATTATAAATTTTGTCTTCATCCCAGATATTGGTACTTCTTCCCCAACCATCTTTATTCCAGCATCAAGTCTTTCAAATTTCATATCTAGAGCTTAACAATTTGCCTCTCAGTGACTGACATTGCACTCCAAAATTACTGCTTCTCCCTGGTCTTACTTATCCATTCCCACAAAAGTATACATTCCTTCAGAAAAATTTCAGCTAGGTATCAGATTATATAATTCCAGTCACTGTGTTTGAATAATTAGACCCTGCTGAAAGGTTTGCATTTTTTTAAAAAAGCTCCTTAGTCCAAATAAATATAAAATAAAAGTTACAGTGTAAGAGATTTTTCTAGCAGAAATGTTTTCCAAATTCTGCCAACCTGCTCTAAGCTACCTCCTACCTATTTCTCACTGTACAGAAATCCCTCTCCCAATACCCCAGGCCAGGTTCAGCAACTTGTTATCTCACTTCACAAAATAAACATCCCAGGAACACAACCAACATTTGCAAAGCACTATGGCTGACATAGAACTTACATGCAAGAGATCTTAGTTGATGCTCATTACACTGCAGGACACATAAAAGCAGGGATCTATTTTCATCCCCATCCCAGAAATAAGGTAACCTGAACCCAGATTATAAACTTCTCAAGATCACATAGGCAAATAATTAAGTTACAGAATAGGGTGCAGAATTCAGACTTTCTGATTCCTAATCCTAAACCATGTCAAAATATTCCATCAAATTAAACAGCCCACTCTCAATCTGGTAACAGACATTTTATAACCATGAACACTAGAAGAATAGAAGGCAAAGAGCTGATCCAACTGAATTATTCTGGTTCCATCTAAAGCAGAGGTTCTCAAAGTATGGCCTAATCCTAAAATCAGTAATATGTCTAGTGATTGTAAACAGATATTTCAAAACAGAAAGTCATAATGCACTTGTATGTAGTTGAAGAAATCAACTGGCACTAGAAAGAATAGAAAAGAAAGCAGTCTGTTTACTTCAGCTAATGACTGCTTTATACAACTCACCAAACCACGTTTGTGAAGAAAGAGCAGAATCATGGTGCTATAATCAAGGCTGAATTCAAATACACTGAATTGGATCTCTAGTTTTTCTAAATCTTGGCCAGTGAAAAAAACACCAAAGCAAAGCTAAGCATGGGAAACCTCAAGGACTCATCCATGATAACCTGATTTTTTAATCTCCTGATTCTCCTTCTAACCTATTCTCTGCAAACGGGACATGGCTGAGACTTGTCAACCTCTGATCAAAGTGTAAGGTTAAAAAAAAAAAAGGCCAAATAGTTGGAAAGAGACTGGAAAATTAATCACATGCAAGAAAGTACTCTTGATGGCAGCAAACAAAAATGCAGAGTAGATGACCTCAGGACTGCACCCCAACAGAATAGTCCTCGGACCAAAAATTTGAGAACCACACAATATACAAATTAACCAACCACAAAGGAGGTTCACTCTAAAAAGTAGAAAAGGAAATAATACAAAACGCATGATCTTAAAGCTATTAAACATTACATCAGCATTTATTATTAATAGCCAGCTTTTTGATTCAAAGGAGTATCTAGGCCCATTTGTCCCCTTCCTAACAGGACCAGGATACTACAAGACAAATAAATGGGAAGCTTTTGTAGAAATCTTACCAATTCGGTATTTTAGTTCTATGATGGTTTCGCCTTCTCTGCTTAATTCGGTTACTTCACAAGTATAGTTTCCTACAACAGCTTCTTCCTTATCCATCTCCAAAGATGCAATGCCAGTTAGTAATTTTTGTGGTATGATTTTTGTACTCTTAAACTTATCACCATGAGTGGTCTTCTGCAGAGCTCCATTAAAGGTGAAAATGTCTTTTCCTTTTAATTTCCACTTTACATACATCTCATTAATGTTTGTTGCCTCCACGTTATTAACAAAGCATGGGATGATAACACTTTCATTGCAAGCAGTGTATTCTACAGATTTGGTTATGTTAAATATTAGCTGAGCTGAACCTGAAAAAGAAAAAGAAAATTGTTTCATTTCATTATAGAATCCTATACTTCAAGTTGTTACAAATCCTTAAGATAAAGAGCAATGTTTCACTTGTTCATTTAAGCAAACAGTGCAACTACAGAGAAGACAGGCAAGGTGAAAAAAATCCAAATTATTTTAATATTAATGTGCACAGCTGGCAGACAACATTGTAACTTTTCTTTACTCAATCTCAGTAATACAAAGTATACATTACCATATATCTTGGGAATAAATTCAGCAACCCTGATGGAACATGCAGGTGTAGTATCTAGCTTTGGAAGCTTTGAAGTAATCATTACTGCCTACTGATACATGTAGAAAAATACTGTCCGAACCATGAAAAAAATTTTAACAGAAAATCAAACTAAATATTATATTTGGTATATACTTCCTCCAAATAGAACTTGCTAAACTGAGAGAAAGTTTATTTCTATGCTTGTCTTGCATTTCCAAAAAAGATGATGGGGTCTACTATACTTTAATACCAAAAAGTAAGCCAGATGAATCACCTCACATCTCTCCACAAGGATAGAAAGTCAGAATGCTAAGGAGAAAAACATTCTCCATGGCTACTTTCCCACTGCAAAATACAGACAGCAATAGTCATTTTGTATGTAAGTATTAGGAAGTATTATATCCAACAGAAAAGCATTTTCCTACCCCTATATTTCACTGAAATCACGGAAAACAATTTCCAAATATATATTACAGGTATTCTTTCCTCCTAGGAACCATAAACCACTAAAAAAAAAAAAAAAAAAAAAGCTAAGAAACAAGTTAATACCAAGAGCAGATACTGCTAATAAATAGGGTATATACTAGTCTTCTCTTATCCATGGCTATGCTTTCTTTGGTTTCTGTTACCATTGGTCAACCACAGTCTAGAAGCAGATTATCTTCCTTCTAACACATGGTCAGACAATCTATAGTAGCCTAACTCTAGGTCACATCACATTGCCTACAGCCTTCATCTCATCAAGTAGGCATTTTATCATCTCACAACATCGTAAGAAGAAGGGTAAGTATAGTACAATAAGATATTATGAAAAAGAGAGTGAGAGACCATATTCACATAAATTTTATTATAGCACATTGTTATAACTGTTGTTTTATTATTAGCTATTAATGTCAATCTCTTACTGTACCTAATTTATAAATTAAATTTAATCATAGATACATACAGAAAAAAATTATGTAGGATTGGTACTCTCTGTGGCTTTAGGCATTCACTGGCAGTCTTGGAACATATTTCCTACAGATCATGTGGACTACTGTATTCTATCAATTCTTCTCTGGAGAATAAACTATCATTGCCTTACAAAAGAGGGATTGGAAAAGGACACACAATCACTTACCTTTCATCTAACATGTATGAGAATATGGAGAAATTATAGCTGTCTTCCATACTGTTCAGCCACTTATCAACTCTTTTACCTCAGTAATTAGCAGGCTTCTCCCTCAAAAAACAAAGCACTAACAAATGCAAATAAAACATCAACTTCCGTAGTTCATTCTTAAGGTTTCTTCTTTCTACATTTGTAAAATGGTAATAAAAATCAGGAGCATCAGATATTATTGTCCTGGGAACATAATTATTATTCAGTAACTGCCCCGTGCGTTGAATGCTAGGATGCAGAGTGGAATATGAAGTGGACAATGTTCAGAAAGCCTGAGAACAAATTAAGCAGTTCATATGCCTTGGTTTACCCTCTGTAAGAGGATCAAAAACGAACACTGGTACTTCGCAGAATTGTGGTGAGCATCAAAGGAGAAAAGACCTGGGCAAGGGCTCTCTAACAATAGCATGCTATGAACATGAGGGGCAATACTATACAAGTTAGGTGATACAGCATTTTAAGGTAATGATCTGGACTTCCTCTGATTGGCAGGTCCAAACTTTTATTTCTTCAAAGCCTTGGGCTTGTGAGTTGTCGTTCCTGAGCAAGAAGCACTGGGGGTGGAGAGGGGAGGAACTATAGTGTTTGAAAAGGAGAGAAGTTGGGTACCTGGGTGGCTCAGTCAGTTGAGTGTCCTAACTCTTGGTTTCAGCTCAGGTCACGAGCTCAGAGTTGTGGGATCGAGCACCATGGCAGTCTCTGCACCGAGGAGGGAGTGTGCTTGAGATTCTCTCTCTCCTTCTGTCCCCTCCACCTCTCTCTAAAGTACATAAATCCTTTTTTAAAAAAAAGATTTTATTTATTTATTTGAGTAAGAGAGAGAGACAGAGCGCGTGCACGAGCGCACATGAGCAGCAGCAGGGGAAGAGCAAGAAAGTGAAGCAGACTTCCTGCTGAGCAGAGAGCCAGATGCAGGGCTCGATCCCAGGACCCTGGGATCCTGACCTGAGCTGAAGCAGATGCTTAATGACTGAGCCACCCGGGCGCCCATGAATAAATCTTTTTCTAAAAAAGGAAAGAAAAAAGTACAATGCTGGAATCAGAAAGAAAAGAGAAAATATAGTGAAAGGTTTTGAAATGGACAGAAAGATTCCTGACCGCCCTTTCAATGGAGTACTGGAAATTGTGTGACAAATTCCTTGGGACTATCTCATTCTGTAGGGGCTTATGCCTTTCACTGTGTTTATCTGTCTGAGCTATTTTATAATTTTGGCAAAACTGATGGCAATGCAAATGAATCATATCCATAGAGATACAAATAAACTTTGTTCTGCAATTCACTTCTCCATGGTGGAAGAAGAGATTTCAAAAAATCACGTTTTATTGCCCTGAGGATAATACTGCATCTATTTGAAAATTCATTTCACCATTCCTGATAGCCTATAAATATGTCTGTTCTCTCAATTTTATTTTAAAACTGGATGGTTTTACCATCTTGCTGGTTTACTTGTTAATTAACATGTGAAATAAAACCTTTGATATGTGGTCATTTTGTATTTGAGTCAAGATTTAAAAAAATTATTTCTAAAAATTACCCTTTAATAAAAGAGATACAAGTGAAGAGCTCAGTTTTCTTAGCAAACTTTTTTAGAAGGCTCTAAGTAAGAAAGGGTTGGTGAAAACTAGAATTTCATTTTACATTTAGAGAATGAATTTTCTAAAAAATCGGAAAAGCACTAATTGCACTGCATTTTTTGTTGCAATAGAACAATCATAGCTGAAGCAATTTAAGTAGAATAAATACTATCAATAAAACTCAAAGTAAAACTGACCTAGATAAGCCATAACTTGATAACCCTTGTGCTAATTAATAAATAAGGGTAGTCCAAAAATGCCACTCCACCAGCTGTTAATGACAGCTTCATCCTCTATAAACATTTATTTAAAAAAAAAAAACCAAACTATTAAACAGTAAAATTATCTGATTTGGGTTTTCTATCTTTTGCCTAATGCTTTCTGATGAAACATCAAAGTGAAAAAAAAAAGATTTAAAATATAGAGAGCAAATAAAAGCACATAGATAATTAACATGAATAAGGAAACTCTGAATAATCAAGATATGCCTCTAGCAGTCTAAATCAGATAGGAATAGATAAATATAACTAATCATCAGTGATGCAAGAGCTACAGATAAATTAACAAATGAAATGGGGAAATTATTTTATATAAACTGCCAAAAATAGTGGACTTCACAACCTCTGTAAATACAGACCACCAACTGAAACCATCTCTGACCACAGAACTGAAAACAGCTATTATATGTTGCAGAGAAGGCTCAATACATTGTAGTCACAGCACACAAGCCTAGCTCTGAAATGCACAAATGCAAAAAAGATTTATTGAGAATTACCTGATCTGAAACATTGTGATAGGATGAGGGGACACAATGACGGAAAAAAGCGGCAATTATCTTTTGGAAGCTTTCAATTCTCATTTGGAACTATGATACATACTTTTTGTAACAGGAAGTCCTAAGTGCTATCCTTCCGTATGAACAAAGTGCTATAGATGGGCAGGAGAGTAATCAGTCTTACAGAATTCTAAGGAAATTTGCATTGCTACTAGGGGAACAACAGAAGACTGTCACAGCTCCCACCCATCTGGGCCTTCAATCATTTATCTTTGTATATGTTCCATGCAAAACCTCTCTCTCTCCTTTGTAACCCTTAAATCATTCCCCTTTTGCAAAAGCTTATCCTATACTCTCCAAAGAAGCCATATTTCTTGAGCCCTGTAAATGAGAAGCCAGAAGCTTCCAATACTTCCTACCTATATATTTACCTGCAACCCCAACTATCCACACCCTCTTCACCTTCCTCCTCGTCACAATTGTATTCCTTCATCCATTAGTTTACATTTCTGCCTCCACACCCACTAGTCACCCCAAGGACTTTCCCTAGTTGATTATTAGCTTCTTAACATCCCCCATGCCATTCACAGGTTATTTTTTAACATATAAAAAATGCTTAAATATTAGTCAACTTTTAAAAAATTACTTGTACTTGTCTCTCTCTTCCCGAGCATCCTAAAACAATAATCTAAATGCATTTCTTCACCTCCTATTCACTTCTTAAGTCTCTGCCACCTGGCCTTTACCTCTTCCTCCCTGTAACAGTTCCTTCCAAAGCTGCCAATAATCCCTTGTGAGAAACTGAATGTGCACGGTTTACTCTCTATCTCAAATATTCTATAGCTCCTGGGCCAATAGGCAGCTCCTTTCTTGCTCTTATCTCTTGGCCTCTAATAGCTCTTGATTCTGAATTTCCTCTTACTGCTTTGTCCACCCCATAACAGCTTTCCTTCTTCATTGAAATCTAGTCCTTGACTCACAATAAATATTAGTGTTCCTCAAAACTCCATATACAGCAGTGCCCTCTTCCCAACCCCTGGTGCCCAGCATTCTCTCTTACTCCACAGTTAAACTACCTACACACTTTTTGTTTAACCAGGCCCCACTTTCTCCTTAACTGCAGACCTGGAAAGTCAACTGTCTGCTGTGTACTTCCACTTGGATGTACTACAGTTAATTCAAAGTCAACATGTCCAAAAACCTATTTACCCTCTTCCTAGCCTCCTCCCCAAACCTCACCATCCAAAATATTTTCTATTATCTATCAGTCAACCAGACCTGGACCTAATAAGAATCATGCTAGATTCCTCCCTCTCCTTAGTTATAAAGAATTTGTAGTAGGCCCAACCTATTTAATGATTCCTCAATCCAATGTCTGCTGTATGTATTAGACATTTATCATCTCTCTTTTGAGATATTGCCATAACCTCTTAACTAGCTCCCTACCTCCAGCCTCAATGTTTTCCCATCTCAGCCCCAATGTATTTTCCACAGTTCTCAAAATAACTGTTCTAAATGCAAATGTGAACTCTTCTGCCTAATATACTTTTAACAACACCCCTCTCCCTGTTTCAAGCTAAATTCTAAGTGCATTAGCATGGAATACAAACTAGGTCCTTCAAGATCCTGTCCAGCCCCACCTCCTGTACTCCTTCTTTTCCAAACTAAGCTTCCATTATAATGACTTCCTGCAATTCTATGAATATGCAAATGCCCTTCATCTCCATCCATGCCTTTGGACATGCTGGCAAACACTTGTTCATGCAGTGTCCAGGTAAGAGCACACACTGTGGAATCAGACCTGGCTCAAGACTTGCACTTTCTCCTTGTATAACCACTGACAAGTTATTTATCCTCTGTAGCTCAGTTTCCTCATCCACAAAGTGTGAACTGAAGTAGTGTATACCTCATAGAGACTCTTTGAAGACTTAATGAGATAATAAATATTAACTTCTTATTGCAGTATTTTCACATACATAGGAAATGTTCAATAAATGGCAGCTACAGTTTACTAACTTTGGTTCTTCCTGCTAGAACGCAAGGGAGATGTTCAATCCTATTCCTCTTCCCCTACCACTGCTCAATTATATTCATTCCCTCCTTATTGCTCCTATTGTCCCCTTTTCAAGTGTTGTCACTGCACCTACTACTGAATCTTGAAATTACTGTTTTACTTAACTGATCTCACCATTAGGCTCAAAAGGTAAAGAAACAAGGATAATGTCCTCATTTAGTATCCTATGGATCCAGGGTCTAGCAAGCACAAACCAGTACATTCCTTATAAATGTAAAACATTTAAAGTATGAATCCCAAGAAAGGAAAATTGTATCAGAGAGGATTCACTCTTCTTCCACATGCCAAGAAAATCCTCCACTACTTCTCACTTCAATAGACCTGATTATAGAATGGAGAAGCTACATATTTTAATAGAAAATCTCGATCACATCAGTTGCAGATTGCATGGAAGAGTTTCTTAAAAATTACATGAATGTGTTTAAGAATGATCTTCCTAGAGAATGATGTTTAAACTAGGTCTTGAAGGATGAGTAGGAATTATATAGGAAAGGAAAGGCTTTCTAGGCAGAGTATATAACATGTGCAGAGGAATGAGAAAAAGTGAGTAACTGGAGGCAGAAGATTCTTCAAGTGAACTTTAGGAAAAAGGGATGGTTAAGAAATAGTGTAAAGGCTTCCCTGAATGCCATTCGGAAGAACTGGGACTTGATAATATAAGCAAGAGCAAAATATGTGGATTTACTTGCATTTAAGAAAAACAAACAAAAAAAAAAAAAAAAACAAACAGCAGCATGAAGGGTGAACTAAGGGCACAAAGGGAGATGGGAAAGGGAGACCCATCAAGAGATCACTGTAATAGTCCAGGTAATTGACACCTGGAGAGAAGGCCAAAATATTACAGTAAAAAACAAAGAACATCAACATAAGTTGGATGTGGGAAGTAAGGGAGAAGAGGAGGAAAGAATTAAAGTTGTTTATTAAAGTATGAGTAACTGGTTAGATTGTGGATTTTATAGAGAAAAGAGATTTTTGGAGATCTACAGGGGAATAATCTTTCAATATTTAATAGGCTGAGTATTAAACTACCTGTGGTAAGATGAAATAAGGATGTCCAGTAGACCCCAGGACATATGGATCTGAATTTAAGAAGAAAGGTCAGAGCTAAGAAGACTTGGGCATCACCAAGATCACAGCTGGCAGGTGAAACTGTGAGCATAAACAAGATTGCCCAGA